TAGAAGGAGGGAGAGCTTCTGGGAAGTCTGGGTGGCTCAGAACTCATCTCAACCGAGAGAGTGATCTATGGGCAAAGGAGGAGTCTTGGATGCCAAATTCTTCTTACTGAGCTGTCTGTCTCCCTAGGGCGTGTGGTGGATATTTACTCCAAGTTTGATGTTATCGTGAGTAATCATGGTGGGACTGGGAGGCAGGAAAATGGGGAGTGGGGAGGAGATAGGGTATTAAATGTGCAGCGGGTGAAGGGAGTCTCTCTTTTGGGACTTAAGAGTCTTGAAAGCTTCCAAGCTTTCAAATTCTGTTTGAAAGGAATTGGTGAACTGGGGGTGACTTAGTATGGCTAAACAATTGCTCTGAGTCCCTCTGGTGAGATTGGGTGGGCTAAGGTTTGGGGACTGGCTCACCTTCCCTGTAAGCTCTTTCCTCTATTCAGAATCTGGCAGCAGAAAAAACCTACAACAACCTAGATGTATCTGTGACCAAAGCCCTACAACATCGATCACACTATTTTGAGGGGGTTCTCAAGTGCTACTTACGTGAGACTCTGGAGACCATCATCAATAGGCTGGTGGAAGCAGAGGTAGGGATGTCAGAGACCTTCTGGGAGTAGGGGGAGCAGGTGGCAAAGAGACGTAAACCTTGAGAGTGGGCTTTGCCAAACTGAGGGGGGTGAAGAAGGGCCCACCCTAACTGAGGCTGGCACTAAAATCCCCTTTCTCTCTTGCTGCTCTGTCTGTGCCAGGTTCACCGACTTGTGGTGGTGGATGAGAATGATGTGGTCAAGGGAATTGTATCTCTGTCTGACATCCTGCAGGCACTGGTGCTCACAGGCGGAGAGAAGCAGCCCTGAGCTGGGGGAGGGATCAGGCAGCACTGGGGATGTACCTCACTCACTGCCTGCCAGCAGCTCTGGGAATCACAGATGAAACCTTGGGAGAAATCGTGGCTCTGTCCCCTTGCTCAGGAGTCCTCTGCCCTTCTACCCAGGGACTGAGGGAGTTGGAGAAGGAAGGAGAATAGATTTCTAGCTCACACATACACTTCAGAAAATTTTGCCCAGCCTGTCTCAGCCCCTGTCCTCTTAAGACATAGCCCCATTTCTGGGTCAGATATGAGCTCTGTGCCCTTCCTCAGGCAGATTCTGATCTCAAAGAGATCCGTAGACCTCACCCTGCCTTTGCTTCTATCCCTGCCTCTTACTCCACCCTAAGATAATAGCACAACAGTCTTCATAAAGATATTTTTATTCATCCTGTTTCATGCTGTATGGGGGAGGCTGAGTCCAGTTGGTGACATTTCTTCCCATAATGGGAGTGGAGAGGATTGTGGCAAGGAGGGCCTTTGGGTTCCTGTGCTGTTTTTATATGAAGGCAGATGGGGGTTAAGTGAAGGATGAGGTGGTTAGCCAAAGTTAATTGCTTTTCTTAGCAAACCTAATTAAAATGACAAGAACCTTTTCATGGTATTGCAGAGTTTGATTTTTGCAGTTGATAGACACTACTGCTTCAACCTCTTTCATATGGCTTTCTCAGCTCCTCATTAATAACAATTACATACACACATGTATATGTATAATATATAAGATTTACTGTGTTCCAGGCACCATTCACTGAGTTTGCTTTACATATATTAATTTTGCTAATGCTCAGAACCAGTAGTAGGTACTATTGCTATTCCAGTTTTATAGACTTAAAAAACAAACAGAAGTTAAGTAACTTGCTCAGTCACAGAGCTATTAAAAAGTAGAGCTAGGATTTAATCCCACAGAATCTGACTCCAGAGTTTATGCTCTTTACCACTACACTAGACTTCCTGCCTCTCAAATTCCCCTTTAATAACTGTTCCCTGCTCTGTTCCCTCTTTGTGATGTCACTTTCCCATTTGTTAGGAAGATAGCTAGGAACCCAGGAAAAATCTATGACAGTGTTAGGTCACCACAGAGTAGACAAACTGAGGGTCATCTTTAAGCAAAGAGACATGCCACCACTAACTTTTTCTAGTCAGGCAAGCCAGGCTTTATGTATTCTGCTGAAGTGTTGCTATTGCTGAGTCTACAAATCCCTTCTCTGCCTTCCAAGGTGAGAATGAACTAGAAAATAGAGGGAGGGAAACAGTAAAACTGGTCACCCCATCAGACCTGGTTATGGACTGAATTGTATCCCCAAAAAATATGTGCCAACTTGGCTAGGCCATGATTCTCAGTATTCCATGGTTATCTTCCGTTTTGTGAACCCTAACCTCTAATGTTAATGAGACAGGATTAGAGGTAGTTATGTTAATGAGGTGGGTACAGTCTATAGGATTAGGTTATGTTTTTAGTCAATCTCCTTTGAGATATAAAAGAGATTAAACAACTAACTACAACCAAGAAAGAAGAGCCAAGAGCAGAGCATATCCTTTGGTCCAGGAGTCTCAGTGCTGGGAACCTTCTAGATCCAGGGGAAAGACTGATGCCAAGACACATGGCAATCTACAAAGAACACTGGGCCCACAGATGTTGAAAGGATACAAGGACCTTCTTTGAGATCCAACAGAGAGAGAAAGCCCTCCCCTAGAGCTGGCACCCTGAATTTGGACTTCTAGTCTCCTAAACAGTGAGAGAATAAATGTTTGTTTGAAAAAGCCATATCTACTTGTAGTATTTCTGTTATAGTCCTACTAGATAACTTAGACCCTTTCCCTGTACTGAAGCTGTGTGGGCCAGTACAATAGGCAGCACTAAATATCTTAAATGCTAGTTGGGTATGCGTTAAATACTGGGTATCAACTAATTTCTGCCATATAAGCATGATGCAATTTCCCATCCAAGACCAGAAACAATTTTGAAGTAACTCCTTTCCCCCATCCCCACTATGCCTAACTAAGCCCTCTGATGAACTCCCAGCCCTACCTTGTTGGTTTCCCCAAACCAGGCTTCGGGATGGAACAGAGAGAGAAGTATCAAGGCCCTTGTCAGAGCTCAGCTTTTGGTGCTGCATCATGGGTATGGAGAAGTCCTCTGCTTCTGTATTCACCTTTTCACATGCCTCACTGCACATTCCCAGGCTTGGGGGAGGGAGGCTTCCAAGTAATTAGAACTGGGGTATGTGTGTGTGGGTGGGTACATGGTGGAAGTACAGATGTCTCTATGTCACATTCCATCATGAAGGAGGGCTTCTCTAGATATAAACAAGGCAAGGGCTTGAAAAAGCCTTAGGACTCTGGTGGGACCTGGGGTGGAAGGAAGTACCTTCAAGCAAACTATCTTCAGTGCAGCTGGTAGGTACGTGAATTCAAGGGGGATAAAGTAGATGGGACTGTAGTGTTTTGAGTTCTCTCCAAAGGACCATGTTAAGGAGCTGGAGGCCTAGGTTCTCAGTCGGTCTCTGCCCCACAACCCTTTTCATCCTATCCTCTTAAAAGTAAGGGTCTGTACCTAAAGGACTGCAGATACCTAACTGGAAAACAAATTAAGTTGTCTAGCTCCTCCTACCCTCCCCCCACCTGCTTAAAAAAAAAAAAAAAAAAAAGCCAGTTTGAGAATAGAGCCAAGGGTAAGATGGGATGAAATCTGGGAACCTCAGTCTTCTATTCCTCTCAGGAGAGACAAATTATCCCTTCTTCCTCAGGAGCCATTGCCATACACATTCTTCCCCCCCACCTTTCTCCCTCCCTCCATTGGAGCTGCTGCCATGGTTGCCAGGCATGGTTGCTAAGTCTCTGCATGTAAGGGTTGGCGTGGGCTGTGCTGCCACTAACATTACCATGGTGAATCAGGGGACACCTGGTATAGGCTGGGGGGGGGGGAATCATGTGGATTAAGCAACAACACCCCCCCACCACCATTAGGACAGAATGAACCTAAGAGGTGAGCATCTTGAGCACCATTTCTGGTGGGGGCTGAGTGAGCTAGGCATTGTGGTGGTGGTGAGGGGGCGCTCTATACTGAGAAATGAACGGGTCACTTTTATCATTTCAGTTGCTAAGGGATTAGTTGTGCCAAGGGAGCACAGCATCCCTCCTCCATCCCTTCTGAAAGGGTGCAAGTGCACAGAACTCTATTCTGTCCTCCACCAGACTGGGCAGAGCTGTGTGGGCACAGAGCTGTGTGACCCCAACATCCTGGACTGGAGAGAGAGCCTATAGCTGGGGGAGGGCTCCATGGGTGCCCAAGGACAAACATTTAAAATACAGGAGTAGCGGGGCGGCTTTGGTGGTCAACCCAAACTCCTGTGCCCTGCAGTACCAACAGCTCTGTTTCAGCACCTACCGAGGCGGTGAGGTATTAAGGGTATGGGGGTCACCCTCTTTGAGCCTGGGGGAGGCAATGATCCCCGAGTCACACAAAAGCTGTACGAAAGCCACCGCCTCCTCCCTCCAGCCTGGAAGCTGGTTACTTATCTCATCTCTGCACCCGAAAGCCACTGACGCTAAAAATAGCCCCCCAGCCGTGGCCCAACCCCTCCTGCACCCCAACCCCATGGAAACCAGCAAGAGTGGCAGGCAGAGACCTTGAGTTCCATTCCCACCACCACTCTCTATGTCCGGGAAGTTGAGGTCCAAGCAAAAAGTAAGGGACGAACGCTGGTGGTCAACCTGACAAGCAAGAGAATGAAGGGTTAAAACGGCTGGTAGGTTGGTGAAACGGGGGTGGGGTGGAGGTGGGGGCACCGTTAACTTGGCAAAAATCCAAAGTCCCCGCCCACGCGTGCGGGTACCATCAGGCTTGGGGGACAAGAGCAGTGGGAAGGGGTGTCCAATCCTGGGCCCCAGGGGGCGGCCGTGCACGTGGGGGAGGTAGCAGCGCCGAGCCGTCCGCGCTGTGTCACATGGGCGCGCGCACACACAGACAGGCACACACGTGTGCCCGGGTATATATAGTCCCTAGTCCCTGGGCCTGCCGCTCTGCAGTG